TTTAATTCATGTAGAAGCACCTACTAAAATAATACCGATAATTTAATTTTAAACTCAACAATAATAATTTCTTTTGCATCAAAAAGTATTAACATTACAAATATAATTTTACGATATTCATAAACAGTTTCATTTGTTTTAGTTTCTTGATTCTTTTCAAATCCATGAGATATCTTATTTTAGGTTACTGTTACCTAACGCTGAAATGCAGGTTTCCATCTGTAAACGGTAAAGTCCAAATTAAAGTTAGAATACTCGGTGTTTTTAAATTTGCTTATAAAAATATTTCCAAAGGAGATGTCCTTTTGGCTGTACGGGATGTATACATACGTGTCCAAATTAAAAAGAAATACTCGGCATTTTCAAATTTGCTGGTAAAATTATTTTCAAAGGGGGTGTCTTTTTTGCTGTACGGGATGTATACATACATATCCACGTTAAATTAGGGATACGTCTAATCGTTATCTTCGAGTAAAGAGATTGCCATGAACTCCGCAATTAGAGAACCTTATCAATAAATCGCTAAGGTATCCGAAGGTCGGCTCTAGCAAAACTGAAGTTCTTGTCAATCAAAAAAAGGGGGGCAATTCCAGAGAGACATCTGAAGTTCTTGTCAATCAAAAAAAGGGAGGCGATTCCAGAGAGACATCCAAACCAACTATTATCAAGTGACAGTCCAAATTTTCGTATTTATCTCACTTCACTCCGACTGACCGATTACAGGAACATGATGTCCCTATTGTATTAATTATTTAGTGCTCTCACCGAACTTGGCTGAAATATTTGCCGCTGGGCTGATGGCAAACAACAATCAATCAGTTTCTTTAGGTGCCTTTAAATCTAAATATCATACTATTTTTAATCTAACCAATTAAGTCTGATCGGTAAATTATGTGCGTATATCATTTGCGCCAATTTTTAAAATATCGAAATATCATATTTATTTTTCATTTGTGCCAATTATCAATTTTTTATTTATGCTAAATTAATTCGAACAGGTTAGATCTGATACATTTACTTAGTTTAACCAAACGCAGCAGTTCAATGAGTACATGTTTATGTTATAGATACATGTATATAGATACATGTTGAGCTCATTGATTTAAAGACTTCTGTTACCCGAACATATATTTATTGTTTTAAAATTCCGCTGATATGTCAACAGTTGCATAAGCATTTATTATGTATTGATTATGTATTTCGATTTTCGAAGTTGATTACTGATAAACAGTATTGTAGTATTAGCTTTGAAATTCGTACAGTATTATAAAATCGTTAACTGTATGATCCTGTATGAATCCAAATCATTTCTCTATATTAATCGTGTATAAATGTTTCATATATAGGTCTTATTTGAACATAAAACCGTAAGGAAACAATGAGTACATAGTATAACCAAATATGCATGCAAAAAGCATTTATCATGCAAAATATGCTAAGTGTCTACTGTTACTGTATTGTACATAGCTCAATTCAATTCAATTCAATTCAATTTCAAGTTCATTTTTGTTTTTTCAATTTTCAGCAAAACATGATTTCTAACAATTGAAATGAACTAATGTGCTCTGACGATGACACACAGTAATTGCAACTGCTTCCGGCAATTACACTCATGTTTTTATTTACATCGATGTCAATCATCCAGTAAAGATGAATATTCATTACTACCGTCGGTGCTTAATGTCCCTCTCTGGTTAACTTTAAGTGCAGATCCTTTATTTAAGCAACAGGCCAGAGACAATATATTTCATTTTTGGATATTAAACCGTCTTTGGAGGTATGGAAAGACTATAATAAGCCATAGGCTTTTTTTTAGATGGTTGGACTGATGGCAGGACTTCAAAATACTATAATATGTCAAGACTTCAAAATGCTATAATATAATTCTATATAATTCTTTTTTGCAAAACAAACAAAAAACTATTCTAGTCATAGCAATACAGACACAAAGCAAACATAAGAAAAATCTATAAATGTAAGACTATTACAAATATTTTTATCACATTTTTAATTTAAATTGAATGGCAAACCATTCGTAACTGATTTCCCTTTGGATGATTTTACTGTATGGTCTAATCGAATTAGAAACACTTGATCAAGTGCCCTTTATTTCATAATTTCATTAAAAATTAATAATTTTCATTTCAGGTGTTCTTGGTTAAACAAAAGCGACCAGTAAAATCATGTATATTAAAAATTGCATTGGACATGGCATCAAAATCAATTCACTAACGACACTAACAATTAATGAACTAGAACTGACAAAACGTCTGCTTCGTATACAAATTTAAACATTGTACACTTTAGTTTCGTATCAATAATGGCAGACAGTGATCACAAAACGTTAGCGACATTATGGGGAGAATTTAGCCAAACAACAGGATTCCATGGTGTAAATAAACTTGCAAACGGCAATAAATTAAGATGGTAATGTAGAAATATTTTCAACATTTTGTTATTGTGTTGATGCTATACTAAATAACTACCGTTAATTGTTATGTCGTTACTTCCTTTTGGAAATAGCTGGGTCCACCGCCAATTTGTTATAATTTGTATATGTACTATTAGGAGTAGGTTTTATTTCATTTGATGACTTTTTATAGATATTCCGCTGAAAGATTTTGCAAATTTTACTGAAATAGCGATAATGACTTCATAAGGCAAAGTCGACATATACAGAAAGACGCATTTGGCTTAGTTCTGTATATAAAATGAGACCGACAATGTTCATGCTTATTTATGTTTTTCAAAATAACGACTAAGTTCAAAACTTAAAATATCCTAATAAGACGCTAAAATTAAAGTTGAAATAAATTAATTTTAAATGATATGATTTTATACTTGTTTTATGTTCTTTTGTTTAATAATTCTGTTAATTTAGTTCATACGGTTTTTGAAGTTTATCATCAGTCGTACACCAAAATGAAAAATACGCTATTGCATTGGTTTGACAATGACAATGTTTTGGTGTACGCTGTTGGAAGCAATATATTCTGATAAAATTTAATTTTGGATGTAACACGTCTTCTGATTAGCTGAATATTTTTGTCTATGATTGTAATATTTTTTTAAATTTTGACACTCACACAACCACGGAAACTGTCTATTAGTGACATTTATTATTATTATTGTTATTATTATTATTCTTCTTATTATTATTATTTTACAAGCACTGTAGTGGATTTATGTCTTTTATAATAGATTTGGAGTAACCACATACCCGTTTCCTAGGTGACATACGCCAATTGTCTTAGTAGCATGAAGTGTATCAATACACCAACATTATTGATATTAAGTTAGTTATTATGATTGACAAAGTTTTCCCCAATGTCCAATGGCAAATATGTCATGAATATTTATGACGAGAAAATTAAAAATTTAAATCGGACATGCAGGTTTAGAAAAGTTGGTCACCTGAATGAAAAACAAGAACTTTAGGCTGAGACAAGAGGGAGCAAGGGAAAGGACACGCATCTTACCCTTAACAGGACACTTACATACACGAGCCCTTCAAGAGTTGTTTCAAGGTTTCCTGATAGTACAGAGTGCGCAGGACCCTCCCTTCATGAGACAATTGGATTTAACGTCCCCATTCCTTCCGGGCGTTGCATGCAAAGCTAAACGGATGCGATTTACGTTTGGTGGTAGAAATCTATGTGGCCTTTATTAATATACCCTAGTATGTAAAAGTCGTTTGGGTAAACAAAAAGATATATCCAAATAAAATCGGTTTAGAGGTAATTAGTCAAACACCAATGATTTCTCTATTTCCACGTACCTGTCTGAAGTATAAACATTCACCAACAAGCTTCAAGTCGAAGTTTTTAAATGCAGAAGTAGCATGTATAAATAGTCTGTTACCAATAGCACAAGAATGTGAAGTAAAAAGAATCGCTAACACCATCGGGTTTTAAAAATATTTATATATTTCAAAATATAACTGAGAAGATTTAATCATTATGACTGGTTCCCAGTCCTTTGTCTGTCTTGCTCTGACAGATATAAGACAACAAGGCCGACTCAGATCCGTATGTTGCAACGGAGAAAACAAACGATCATTATAAATGTTATGAAAACAATCAAATCCTGGATAATTAATGATTTTGCAGATACTACAGTGGCAGTTTTAAACACTGGTAGTAAAACACTATAAAAACAAAATTGGTGAGCTCGAAGCGGTGTTCAGGGTTAATATCAATCAGAAACAATTAGAGCTACATGAATATGCCGTTAGTAAATAAATTGTGCATTATGAATATTGGAATTAATCGTCCGTAGTTAAACACTATAAAAAAATTAACAAAGTTGTTGGGCTCCAAGCGGTGTTCAGGGTTGATGTCTACCAGAAACAATTAGAAGTGTATACCGTAAGTAAATAAAATGATCACTATGAATATTGCAATTAATCGTCATCAGAAGCGATTAAAGCTAAATAAATAAATAAAATTCTTATTATAAATATTGGAAATATGATACAGTCGAGATATAACATTTTACTGGTAACGGTTATGAAATTTTCAATAAATAGTATGTCAGAATATATATAAATATATCTGGTAATCTCAAGGTTTCTTTTTACGATTGATTGATTGATTGTTTTTTTTTTATGATCTAACGCCACATTCAGCACTATTTACTATTCCGTGGCGGTCAGTTTTTATTGCTGTAGGAAACCGGAGTGTCCGGAGAGAACCACTGCCCTTTGGTAGGAAATATGACCATCCTATTCAATTAAGATTGGCATCCACTGCACTTGCCACGTGCGGGGCTAAAACTTACAACATGCAGTGTTGACAGGTTAGTGGAACAGTAGCTGAACAACTTAGACCACTCTACCACCCCCGCCCTGGTTTGTTTACGAAAAGAACATAGCTCAATTGTTTTATGGAATTGAATGAAATGGTGAAATTATCAAATTATTATATTGTGTATGTTTTGGATTTTTCAGCTTGTTTTGGCTTTGTTCGTTTCTTGCATGCGCTATATACCTGACTTATGTTATGATTCAAGAATTAGAAAATTACTACAATTACCCTACCTACACAACACTTGAAGAGGAGAGACATTTTGAAATTGAATTTCCTGCAGTAACTATTTGTAATTTAAATTCATTAAGCAAATCATTAGTCTTGAATGATTCTAGAGTTGAAAATTACTATTTAAGTATTGGACCACGAGAGATATTTGGTTTGTACAACGAGTTCAATTGGAGTGATCCATTTTATGAACAAAACGGATTTTTCAGCAACAGAACAGTGGAAGACATCTTATTGGAACATAAGGGATTACATTTTGGTTTGTTTAATTTCTTTATGTTTGATCAAACCGCCTACCTGGATTCCAAAGAATATTTCTCTGTGGAGTTAAAACCGAACGGACCATGCCTTACTTCAAACAAAACCAAAATATTCCAAACTTCATATACAGGGTCCGAATACAACTTTGTAATGTGGTTGAATGTAGACCGTGAGAACAGTTATTTTGGTCAGTGGTTAGGAGAAGGGGTGCAGGTAATATGCTTTTATTACACATTTACTATAATTCAGAACAAAAATATATATAATAGTTCGAATAAGTGACTGTGTATTTACATGTACATAAATTTAACAGTTTCTGAGTTCAGCAACGTATGTCATGAGTTCATACAGTTTACAAGACAATGTTAAAAAAATAATTCAATTGTTTTATTTCGAATCAAGTGCCACTTCTTTGAAAAATAAAATATTGCCACGTAAAAATACCCCTCATATGTGCTAAACCGTAGCCTAGGGGAAAAAATCGGACATTTGGCAATATTTCATCCAAATACCCATACAAAAGAAATTATGCAAAAACACATTGAACTGGATTGTCTTTTCGATTCTTTATTAAAGAGCAATTTAACGATTTTTTAAAATCTTGGAATATCATAAAAAATCAATTTAATGACTTATTCTTCAAGCCATTTTACCGATCGTCCTTGATAAACAATCAAAAAAGATTTATGGAGCACGTGAAAAATAAGTGAGATGATAGCGCTTTGTTTATCTGTTTGTTAACTTCATATTTTCCATGCGTTCCCATTAGTTAATTAAACTTTGTCATAGCAGTTGTTAAAGGAAATGGTGTATTTAATGTTTTATTTCAGAACAGATTTATACCATCTTACTTTTCATCACGGTTTTCCTCTCATACTTGTGCTGTGCGCTTGCCAAATTTTAACGAAATGTGTATAGGTTAAATTCACTGCATATGGAAAAGCTGTTAGAGAATAAGAGTACGGGAAGACTATAATTTAATAGCAGTAAAATGACTTTTTTATAAAACCGACTTTTGACTCCGGATTATATAATTTGTTCGCTACCTAATCTGTGGTTGGACATCCTGGTACTCGGTCAAGTAAGAGCAACCAAAAGGAAGTAAAATCAAATACATAATCTGTGTAATTTGGGGAAGGGGCGAAAGCTTACTGTTTGTTTTTATCATTTTGTCGTATAATGAAACATCAAACAGTTTTTTCCCCAAAAAAATGTACCGATTAAGCTTGATTTTACTTCTTTACATTTCTCTTGCTTGACCGAATACCAGGATGTCCTACAAAAGAGAAGGTAACCTGTCGAAAAAATATAAACTTCGGAGTCAAAAGTCGGTAATATGAAAATAGTCTATTTCTGAAGATTTGGATAAAATAAAGGATTTTCATTTAACCGTCTTGTATAGTAAATCTTAGCCATGTATATAGAACATATTCAACTTTTTTGTTAAATTTGAAGGATCATATATCTGCAAACTTCATATTTTGTGATCTAATCGGCAAACCTCTGCAGATTCTGCTACACTATATTTAATGTTAAGATTGTTAGATTTGCTGATCGAGGACAGATTAACAATTTTATTTACATACAAAAGTTAAGTTTTTATAATTGCGGTCGACCAGGATGAAGGTCTGAAAATGTGGACTGCCATTTGAAAATGATGATATATTAAACAGGGACAATGATTTAGGCTTGCAATAGGCCACCTACGAATCCCTCAATATTTGTTGCAAGGGCTATTAACGTGCAGAGTGCTTTGCCTTCTCTCTACATGAATCATCGGATTGACGTCCCAATTCTGACGTGACATGATATACACCCAGCCCAGCCAAATGGACGCCCCACTTTTCAAGGGTTTTACCGATGGTCTGAAGAAAACCAAAAGTGACCATATTTCTATACCAAAGTCAACGTTTGGCTGTGGAATGGTATTTGCCATTAGCCTTTATTAAGCGTAATTTGTGCCTAAATAATTTGTACATGCAGGGACAACAACTGTTCACACATTGAAGATTTATGATTATCTTCGTGTAAATTATCGCACTATTGGTGTAGATGGATTATTATGATGAATATGGACTTCTAATCATTTTTCACTATGCTCGTGTTTTCCGAACAAAACACTAAAATGTAATTGGAAAATTGTTGGTCGCGTAATGTGTTTGTATAAAGCATAACAACAACTTCAGTTAAACGCAAAACCTGGTATTTCTCTTTTAGTTCACAGTTCATGACAAGAATGAAGATCCCCACTTTCAAGGTTCCAGTGGATACTATGTTGAACCAGGACACGAGTATTACGGTGCACTTAGGAAATACACTGTAAGTTATTCTGTCGACAAATATTACGTGAATCATACATGTGGACGTCTGATGGGAGAGTAACGTCAACCTAATTTGATTAGAGATTCACGCATGTACTTTTTCACAAATTTTGTCTTTGGCAATTCATAATTTAACTATTACAACTTTTTGGCAAATTTTTATGTAACATTATTCAGTAATTTAGGGCAAAGATTGAAAAGATTTCATATTAGTAATTTAAATAGTTTGAGTTTGCTTCAAATCAGGGATGGGGTCAATTACTTCAAAATGTAATCGATTAAATTACAATTGCTTTGCTTATTTAATGTAATCGATTACATTACATTACACCTAAATACAAATGTGATTGATTACATTAGATTACTTTTCTTTTAAGTAATCATGATTTGTTTTTATTACTTACGATTACATTGTATAATGTGATATTAAAGATTTTTTTATATAAAACTTTTTTTTCCTTCTACTTTTTGTGATTTTGTGATAAATACATGTATCTTTTGTAACATCCTTTGCTTTTCTATTATCTTGAATATATTCATGATAGTTTAAAGAACTTTGACTTGGAGTAGTGTAACATGTGTATTATTTGATAGCATAGACAAGTGTCATTTCGCATTGAAAAACTCATTGTTCTCATTAAAATATCTATGGACATCAAAATATATACAAATTGTAAAAAAAAAAATTGTTCTCAATACTATTATTATTTAGGTTGGCTCATTTATGTCGGTCATCAAAGTCAAAATTAAATTCAAATCCCCCAAATTAATGATCTCTACTATTGAATGGCCATGTAGATATAATAAAATTTTGTGTAAACTAAAATTGGAGTTTATATCAGAAGTGATTTATAGGGGAACACAAAATGTTTTCAAAGCAAATTCTTATTAAAGAAGAAAAATGAAACATTTGGACGGTAATTTCATTTAGTGATCAACTGTTTACAAAACAAATCGCATATTTTCATTCTACATTCACAAGCTTGATTATTTTAAACTTGTTGTATAGAAGATAAGATTAATCGCTGTAAATACTACTTTGATAAATTTGTTATTCATGCTTGAATATCAAAAACTATTTCCATATACAAAATTTGTAATCAGTAAGTAATTACATGAATGTAATTTAAAAGTAATCATGATTAAAGCTGTTTAAATTACGATAACATGTAAAAAAAAAATGCATAATTACGAATTACATTGCAAAATGTCATCAATTACAGCCGATTACGATTACCCCATGCCTGCTTTAAATATACACAGTGACTTTTCTTGTAGACTGTGTAATGTTTTAGTATCTTGTTTGTTTTTGTTATCTATAATATCGTAATGTTCAAGCTGGTTACTTTTCCTGTACAGATTATAAGTGTTATATCTCGGAATTTCATGAACCTATTTTAATGGAACTACACAGTAAAGTTAACCAGTATGTGCAGATTTGCAATCAGGATATGGCACTTTCAGGAAGGCTACCGTTGCCTTAGAAACTGCTAAAATGCGAAAAGTGGAAAGTGTTACAAACTCAATTAAACTTTACACAAATATTAATTGGCATGTGCAGACTTTCCATTTGACTTTGGAATTTTCAAAATGGTCGCCGTTACCATGGAAACAGCGAAATTATCCAAAATTCAAAATGCTCCAAACTTAATGAAAATTTACAAAAATGTTAATTGGCATGTGTAGATGTGCTGTTTAATTAGGAATTTTCAAAATAGCTGCCGTTACCCTGGCAATTGGGGAACGGACGAGTGTGCAATTCGCTATTTCTCGAAATTGCAAATATAGTTGTCATTGTTATCTGGCAAATATGATCATGTTGATGAAGATGACAGATCTTTGATAGTTTCTATTTATTAGTTTTTCATAATTAAAAGCAAGATATCTTGTATTAACAATTGTCTATTATTAAAGACTGCATGCTAGTCTGTAAATGTCCTTTCATTATATGTGTCGTTTCAAATGCCAAAAAAAAAAACAAAATTAAAAAAAAAAAAACCACAACAAAAACAACAAAACATGACACAGAAAACTTACTATAAAGCCACACAAACCTTACTGGAGATAAGATTTGCAACACGTATAGAAATAAAGGAAAGAATAACAGATTGAACACCCGTGCAACGTACTAACCTGTGATATATATATTCTGTGACGTCACATGATGATGCAGTAAGTATATTCACAGTAAACATTTTAACTTTGATTAGTAATCGTTCTGTAGTCAGAAACTATATATATATATATATATATATATGCACAGTAACAACAAAACAATCCGAACAAGCTCATGATGGGTCCACATTCTCTCTACTTTAACTACGCGTGGACTCAGATACAAAGATGACAAAGTTGACATGTATACGCGCACAAGAGTGTATACCATAGCTTAACTGATTAGCGAGTAAGCAGATGCACTGTCTTGTGTTTGTTAATGCCTGTCTAATAAATCTAATGATAGAAAAGTAAATAAAATTTTGAAGGCACTTCAATCAACAAAGTAATCATGGGATTTTCACTTCGAGTGGTCCGAAATGCTAGAAATTGAAATTCAATTTATTAACATAAAAAAAACCATTTAATGCTAATTTCGTTTCTTGCATTGTGAGCACATAACTGGCGTCAGAAAAAATTACTTTTATTACATTGTACTTGATATACAACGTATATGGCAGTCTTCTTCGTAAAACTTAAGAACATATACTTTTAGTATAAATATTTGCCAGAACCGTTTAGAGCAACACCGACAGAGTTCTGCAGAGAATCTTTTGTGGATGAAGAGCAGTATTTTTCAACAAAGTGTTGGAAGGAATGCTATGTCAGATATATTCATGAGGCCTGTAATTGTATTGATTTTGATTACAAAGGTAGTTATATGTGAAAATATTTTCTAGTAGATATGTCGCGGATGAATATATTTTTAAAGCGTGTAGAGACAGACATAAGAAGTACGTTCCACCTGCAAATCGATTGATGGTTTACGGTAAATGGACATTGAATTTCCCCTGCTTTCCAACCTGTGAAATCCTCAATTTATTAACTTGGTTCCGCCACTTATGCATCCAAAGTAGCTATAGTAAATCGGGAAGGTACCACATTACTCCTTCTGGCAGTGATATATTATTTACATGCTAAGGATTTTTACTAGTGAATTTTGAGATTAGTATATTAATTATCTTCGAGAAAAAACAAAAAACATACGTTATTTCCTATTATGATAACAAATGGTAAAAAAACACAACCAATGCTCTGTTAGTTCAAAAGACAGATACATAATGAATTAGAATTGATATTATCTGAAGTAAAATGTCTCTTATGAATTATAAATTGGGATTAAATTTTTCTTGTTTGCCTCAATTATAAAGAGCAAAATAGCTTGAAACGTAAAACAATGATTAATCTGAACCAATACTAGGACCATTTAGACTTAAAGAGAACCTCGACCTTAAGGCTTTGCTTTGGACATTGACTGATTATATTTAAAATGTTGTTGACATTATACATATCGTAAACATGAATAATTGATAGAAATATTTTACAATGAGTTACAATGTTAAACTGTCCTATTATGATATAGATGTACATGTATACTAAGTATTGAAATTTTATAAATATTTTATGAGCCATCTACTTTGACATAGAACATAATTATGATGCAAATTTCAGCTATACGACGGATAATTAATCTTAACCGTTTGAACGAAATACATGAACAATGTGTAAAGCAGTGTTGATTATTGAGTAAACAAAGACAAAAAAAAAAATTCATGGTCAACCTAGAAAACGAGCAATTATGTCAAATCAAATCTTGGTATTGCATTTTCAAATTAAGCCTATCAAGATTGTATATATAACCTTATTTACAATTTATGATATACAGGGTAAAATATCTTGAATCAGGGTAAAATGTTGTTTTGTTTATTTGTAGATTACCCAATTTGTTCTAAGTATGACTATTTCAAGTGCGCAAGACCAGCAAAAGGTATATTATGCGGAAGGAAGTCAGAAAGGGCAGGGCAGTAAAGTATATAAGTTTAGAATATAAGGAAAAAAATGCATTTCGTAAAGAATACATGTTAAATTAAGTAGTATACCGATGTTCAATCTCAAACCGAGTCAATAAATCAAGTTTACAAATAAAAACTGAGGGAATATCATGAGTTCCAAAAGGAGTGAGACCAAGTGCGTCGACAGATTAAGTGTCTCCTACGGTTAAGGTCACCAGTTATATTTATAAAGTTGCAAGCCGGATTGTAAATGAAAGGAGAAATTGCAAAGATGCATTAGGTGATTTGGACTTGAAGTTGTCAATGGGATTCTACAACATATATTTGGAGTTGCTACTTTTGCTCGAATTAGGTGTTTTGGTCGCTTTAGGTGTGATATAGGTATAAGAGATAATTGGTACAGACTGGTCTTTAAAGAAAGGAGGAAATTGATGATACTGTCTTTAATGTTTTATGATGACGGATACGGCCTAAATTGGTGGCCTCAAAGGACCATTGTTAACAAAAACTGATCAAATACATCAGGCACGGTTTGTAAACATAATACTCGTCAGTGGCGCTCGAATTAAAACAGTTGCAAGGCACAATCAATTACGAAGTTGAAGAGTATTAAAAAATCATGTCATTTAATTCCAACTGGTCTGCAATGCTTTTGATGGGCACAATCCAAGATGATAACTATAATAGGTTGGTACTGATTAGCATATACATGTGTGACAGAGCAATCATAACATATTTATTTTGTATAAATAATTTAGTTTTGAAATTTTCATTTTTCCAAAACCAAGTTTAAAATTTTAGAGAAAAATTGATAATAGATATAGGAAGATGTGGTATGAGTGCAAATGAGACAACTCTCCATCCAAGTTACAATTTATAAAAGTAACTGAAAACCATTATAGGTCAAGGTACGGCCTTCAACACGGAGCATTGGCTCACACAGAACAGCAAGTTATAAAGGGCCCCAAAAAATTACTAGTGTAAAACCATTCAAACGGAAAAACCAACGGTCTAATCTATATAAAAACGAGAAACGAGAAACACGTATGAACTACATAAACAGACGACAACTACTGTAATCAGATTCCTGACTTAGGACAGGTGCAAACATTTGCAGCGGGATTAAACGTTTTAATGGTACCAAACCTTCTCCCTTTTCTGAAACAATAGTTTATAAGTTATAAGTTTATATAACGTATTGAAATCATTCTAGAATCGATGACGATAAGATTTAAAAAGAAATACCAAGGATTTGTATAGATTTGTGCATTTGTATCACTATACATGTCCTTAGAAATACCAAGCGACCAAAAGTGCAATGTATACTTGAAAACTAGAATTTACTAAACATAATTTTTTCCATTTGTATTTTTTGTTTTTCTGTCCATTAATTGCTTTGAAAATTAGTCCAGGTATTCAGTAAATTGCATTTTCAAATATAACGCCTTCCTGTTACTATTACATACGTTAAACTAATACGAAAAAAGACGGTTTTTATATTACACTGTGTTTTGTAATTTTCATAGGAGAATTTTATGGAAACTCCAAAATGAAGACAGGTTGCCATTGTCCGCCTGCATGTTCTAGCACACGATACGAAGTAACACTTTCTTCATCCATATTTCCGTCGGACTTCTACAATGATTTTCTTTTGAAGGCGGTTACTGAAGTCGAACGGGATTTCTACAGGTAATAACGTAAATGGCGGGAATAATTTCACTTAAATTAGATGCGCATTTCGTAAAAGCTCTGTGATCAATTTCGGGTGTATTAACATTGGTACCTTTAATGTTACTAACGTCTTTCAGGGATGCTCGAAGCCGTAATGTTATAAATTTCAAAACTTAATACAACCTTGTAGAGCTGGTAAAACAAAAAAGGACTAATTTTGAACTATATCTATTTTTTTTATGTTTGAAGGTATAAGATAATTTATATATTTTTCTTTTACTAGGGAACACATGTTGGAGGAAGTTTATACAAAATGTAATAAATGCTTGAATAGATTTTATGTAACTTGGTTTCCTGCACATGACTGCCATTCCAAAAAGGCGCTTTTAATTATAACACTTTTCCTTACCGATCAATTGTCTGTAAACTTTATGGTAGTTTTAACATATAGGGTATTCTTATGACGGGTGTTGCAGACCAAGCAGGAACCACTTTTATTGTTTGAACACCTGGTTTCTTTCTTTGTGTTTTTTTTTTCAAATCTCAGGTGCCAATTATTAAAATCTCGTCTGATTTACGCATTATTTATTCAGACACAATAAATGCCTTTATTAAAATTTTTTTTCACCTTTCAGAAAGAATTTTATCGTCATTCACATCTACTTTGATGAACTAAAAACCACAATTGTAAAACAGTCACCTGTCTATGGATCTTCGGTGGAGATTTTTGGTTAGTTTTATATGTGATTACGTTTAAAATTCACTACAACCTTATTGTGTTAAATGAAAATACCAAATTTCGGGCGTCTGAAGCACTTTTCTGGGTAAACCTTTAGCATGCATGCTTTCAAAACTGTATAAACACGTAGAACCGTTAGAAGCTATATACTAGTATCCAAAAAGGACATAAAAAGAATAGAAAAATTTGTCTAAGGTCAACTTCGAATGAGAGAGTTACCTGTTAAAGATATATTATCTATATTCCCAAAACCTAATGGAATACTAATATTTTACTAATATTTTTACAAAACAAATAAAAAAAATGTTTAATTTACATAAGATGTGGTATGAGTGCAAATGAGACACTTCCCCATCCAAGTCACAATGTATTAAAAGTTAACAATTATAGCTTAAAGTATGGCCTTCAACACGGAGCCTTGTCTCACACCGAAAAGCAAGCTATAAAGGGCCCCAAAATGACTAGTGTAAAACAATTCAAACAGGAATTTATGATCTATGACACAATATAAATATAATATTAAAACGTAGGGGCCTATATAACTTAGACGTTACAGGTAGCAATAATAAAGATGTAGGACATGTAGGAAGAGTGTCAAAAAGACAATCCTTACCTAGGACAAAATGACGTTAAATAAAACAACGTACACAGGTAAATTTATATATAATAAGTTTGTTGTTAGAAGTACGGAATGAATTATAAATTACCAATGTTATTTTGAAAGAGTGCATTTATGTGTAGACTTGACCTTTCACTCATAACTATATTAACACAAAGTCCTTTTAACATTCTTATGAGTTAGCTGTATTAAAGCATCAATACACAATTCCTCAAATTTAATTTGTTTTCGTTGAATCTGATTGATACGCCTAATCGGTATATGATATCCATTTTTGTCTGTTATTTTCAGGAAATCTCGGGGGACAGATGGGATTATTCCTAGGAGCTAGTATTCTCACCATTACCGAACTTGGAGAATTTTTGGGGTTTGTTTTATGGTTTATCTGGAAGAAATGCAAGAATGGAAATCGTACAAACTTTTCACAAGAAAAGAATGTCAATGCCACGCTCGAAGAAATGTAAACATGTGTAGTCATGAATTATAAAGAAAGTTAACTTGTATATTTATGATCTTTGTTACCCTTAATTGTAAACAAATGTAATACAATTATATCAATAAACTCATCAATGGTACATGAATTGAAATTTTGTACACCAGACGAGTGTTTCATCTACAAAAGACTCATACGCGACGCTCGAATCAGAAAAGTTAAAAGGCCAAATAAAGTAGTAAGTTGAAGAGCATTAAAGACTCAAAATTCAAAAAGGTTTTGACAAATACAGCTTAGGTAACCTATTCCTGGGAGATAGAAATCCTTAGTATTTCGAATTATTCAAAGTTTTTATAAACAGTTAATTTATAATTATAACCATATAAATGATAATTCATGCCAACACAAAAGGGCTGACTACTGGGCTGGTAATGACCCTAGGGGAGAAACCCCCAACAGCAGTGGCATCGACCCAGTGGTTGTAAATAAACTCATCATAGATACAAGGATTAAAATTTTGTACGCCAGACGCGCGTTTCGTCTCTTAAAGACTCATCAGTGACGTTCGAATCCAAAATGTTAAATAGGCCAAATAAAGTACAAAGTTGAAAATCATTGAGGATAAAAAATTTCGAAACGTTTTGCCAAATACATCTAAGGTAATCTATCCCTGGGGATAGAACATATATTACAATGTATATTTTGATTCGGAGTTTTTGTATGCCCTTATTTTTCTTTGTTTTTTTAACTACCTTGACAAAAATGTTTGACTGAATAAAACATAAAAATGTAGATTTTTCATGAACAATAAGTCGCACTTCGGACTTTGTTTGCAATATGTTTATGTAATTTGTCGCGAAAATAAACAGATCATCACTAAATTGTATTTTAGGTAACAATTTATTATCCTCATTTGGAATCCAAAATTATTGCCATTTCTTAGGCCTCTGGTCTGACCAGAGTTGTTTATAGACAAAATGCCATCTTCCACGTGCTAGTTAAGACTATTACAATTTCTGTACCAATTTAGGTTAGTTATAAGGCCTTAAAACTCATTTACAAATTACACGGTTTCCCTATATATTTATTGAGGAGTGAAAAATATCTCTTAACACTTCTATACGTTTTCTTTTTTTAACCGAATTTGTGTTTTCAGTAGTGGATTTTGTTGGTGGGGGAGTAGAGAGCGTACTTGATTGAAAATTTGCCATTTTTTGCATAAATTCGTTGCATGATAATATGTATACAGTTTATTGTAATTAAGGCAAGTTTCAAAAATCCTGGATTTGTCCCTGGTTTTGGTAAACACATTTTATTATACAATACAAAATGCTAACGCCTGTTATATGAATATTGTCGGGTTTTAAAAAATTAAAGCTTTTGTCGGACCGATGAAAATTTACCTTTTTGATAAAAAAAATATATCCTCTTGAAAAAACGTTAAAGAGGTGTCTACGAAAGCCATTATTGTTTTTAAGCCGTGTTAAACATGTTAAAATCAATAACTTTATATATATATATCAATGAGAAAATATGGACCGTGTCTTTTTGTCTAATGCATATAATAAGGGGCAAACACACTATTTTGCTTATTTATTAGACCACAGCTCGTTTATGAAACCAGAATGTACTCACGTTACGTCGAAACCACTATTTTAGACACGAATAACTACTAGATTCTTATAATATAGAGGCCACAGTATGAGGGTTTCGTATCGTCGAGTTGAAAGTTGCGAGATGAAAAGGCCGAGTTGCCAGTTAAGAACGTCGAGATGCGAGTTACGAAGGTCGAGTTGCGAGTTAAGAAAGTCGAGTTGCGAGATACGAAAGTCGAGATGCGAGTTACGAAGGTCGAGTTGCGAGTTACAAAAATATTATGTTTTTCTAATTTCTTAAGAATTATATATATAAACGGTCGTATATATAAACGGTCGTGTCGTCGGATTTTTGAAACATAATTTTCAGGTTAACTTCGCATTTAAAAAACAAAGCATACATGTACCCGAACTTAGTTATTCACTGCATGAGGAAGGGTCCCGGTATTTTGATTGCAGGATTTGAAAGAGTTAACCTTCCCCCTTCACCTCTAGCCAATGTAGACATATATAACTTAAACGTACACAATTTTGAGTGTCCCTGCCAAAGAATACATTTTGGGGTCCCTAACAAATATTGCATCTGCAGCTGCCCCAACGAGCCCACTCTTAACGAAATCTTTAGAAGTTTTCTTTTTTACATATATGTACTATAGTTTAGTTGCTATCTCCCTTTACGTTTAATTTGACGGTGCTATCTATGAAATTTAATAATAATTAAACTACAAGCCATCCGCTGTATTTCAAAAGGCTATCTGTTAACCATACTTTGCGTAGTGATTATGTAAGCAATCCATTCATTTTTTTACACGACACTCAGATGATGTTTAAACAACAAAAAGAATCAACAATACTGTATACAGTTCTATAAGCAATCATCATTCAAATATGTAAAAGAGGTACACCAAAAAGTTAAAATCGTTTTCCCCATTTTCACGCAAACTCGACTTTCGTAACTCGCAACTCGACTTTTGTAACTCGCAACTCGAAGTATATGTTTTTTTGCATGAAGGATTCATGTGATGGTAAAATGTGTTTTACCTAAACAAAAAAACACTTTTTAAAAAATCAAGTGATCGATATGTTATGTTGTCCGTGTATGTTGTTTATTGTTGTTATATCTTAGCATTGGTTCAGAATTATGTAATGATTTTGATTTGCTGATTTGATTAACACTATAAATTAAAGAAAATAGCTAATCAGAAATATTCTGCAACATTTATTCTTATTAAATATCATTTGGATTAAAGGCAACATTACTTCAAATCTTATAAATATATGGAAAACATACAAATCAGTGAAAAACCGAAGGAATCACATCATCTTCTAATGGAGAGAGACTGGGTGCGTTTACAGGGTAATTGCCTCAAACTTGTTTCTCATGACGTTTTACTTTTGTTATAATTTTTTTATTTCTTAAACAGAGACATTTGTTTTGCAGTCTTCATGTTTCCCGATTTTCATGACACATTATCAATTCGAAGACAAATACTAGTATATAAGTGTGGTATTCCCCGTTGGTATTTAGCCAGACCCTACCAGAAATGGGCAGCAATCCCACAATGCTATCTCTCTTTCCGGTTAGCTGATTATACAAACAGACGTATCCAACTAGCCAGAGAGAAATCCAACAGCATCATCAATTCTTGTTAAACACAGAACTTGGTAAGCTGCTTTATAACGTATCGACAATTACACCATTGGCGCTGCGAGCTCTAGATTGCGGGGTAGTACGCAATACAGAGTTATTTTCGAGTTGAGGCGACGTTCGCTTGGACAAGGTTTCCCGCGGAGGGGGATTCGGGGAAGCCTTCACCAATCGGGATCTGCTGTTGTGGGTTAAGGGAGAGGAACTTCACTTTTGCTGACCAGGCTCTTGAACCACATACAAGTCCGTTAAACTACAACGGGGCAGCTCCAGAGGCCAGAGCAAGCCCCGAAAATAGAGTAGCGCTTCCATCGGATGTGATATAGATAGAACCAAACGTTAAGGAAGTGACCCTAGGGCATCATTTTTTGGGATTCAGGATGCCTGGGGAAGGAGTTGGTGGCCACGGACCCACAAGAGGATGGGGGGGGGGGGGGGGGGGGCTAACTCAGCGTATTGGCAGGTGAAAATCAATAAGGAGGATAGGTCAAAAACCGCATTTATCTCAAAATATGGCCTTTTTGAGTTTGCCAGGATGGCATTTGGGCTCTGTAATGCCCCAGCCACTTATGCTAGGGTAATAAACCTAGTTCTGAGGGGGTTAACTTGTGATATAGTATAGGCTTTTATTGATGACATTTTAGTCCTTGGGAAAGATGTAGCTTCTCATTTGGCCAACCTGAGGGCTGTCCTACAGCGCCTTAGGAAATACGGCCTGAAGCTAAAGGCCAAACTATGTGAATTGTTCCAAGAACAGGTAGAATTCCTAGGCAGAGTAGTAAGTAGGAAGGGTATGAATATCGGCCCAGGCTACATAGGAGGTGTGAGGAAATGGCCAACCCCTAACAACACGAAAACCGTTGAGCGTTTTCTGGGGATCGCCAATTATCACAGGGCTTTCATAGAGGGGTATTCTAATATCGCAGCCCCCCTCTAAGACGTTACAGACAAAAGGTTGTTCACATGGGGAGAAGCACAGCAGGAGGAATTTGATAGGCTGCGGGAGGCTCTTACCTCGCCACCACTACTGGCTCTCCCAAATACCTCTGACCCATTTGTCCTCGATACGGATGCCTCTGACTATGCAATAGGGGCCGTCTCGTCCCAAATACAGAATGGGGAGGAAAGGCTAGTTTGCTATGCCAGTTTCACTCTCACTCCAGAGCAGCGGCGGTATTGCACCACCCGGAAGGAGCTCTTGGCAGTCGTGCGCTTCACAAGGCAATTCCGGCACTACTTGCTAGGAAGGCATTTTGTAGTCAGCACCGACTACAGTAGCCTGATCTGGCTACTTAGTTTCACACAGCCTCAAGGGCAGCTGGCGAGGTGGCTCGAGGAGCTAAGCCAGTACAACATGGAGCTGAAGCATCGGGCAGGGTATAAGCATGCGAATGCTGATGCCTTGTCTCGCATGTCCATGGGTGCCCCCTGTGCAAAATTTAAGGTGGATGCCAATTTGGCTAACTTTCCTTGTGGAGGGTGCACCTACTGCTCCAAAGGACAGTCACAGTGGGCCAAGTTCACCCTGGAGGTGGATGAGGTGATACCATTAGCATCCAAAAGTTGGGGTGCGGAGGATCGATCTGTAAATGAGATACTGGTTGCTGGCCGAGATCCTGCTGACGAGGGCATTTGTTTATCCCGGGTGACAGTGGCCACTGTAGGTACAGATGTGGTAATAGTCCCTGACAACCTAGACTGTTGAATCCGTGTTGTGCAGGAAGGACAAGGGGTGGTTTTAGGGAAATACTCAGTTTAACAGATTTGTGAAGCGCAGGACAAGGACCCTGAATTGAAGTGGCTAGCTGATTGGTTGGGGGACAACGGTTGTCAGCCTGCCCAGGGAGACCAGTTTCGCAGAAGGCCCCATGCAAAATTTTATTGGACAATAAAGGAGCG